AAAATTTATTACAATTAGCAAACATATTTCTTGAAATATGTAATCTACACAAAAGGTTTATTGTGCAAGGGAACACAAAAAATAATGATAGTAGGTAATGTATTAGGAGACATTAAACTTTTTAATGTTTATAGTGCCCAATTGTAGTTGTCATAGCACTTGGTCTCCATGGGCACAAATGCAACAAAAAATGTTATCTCAGTAGATGTCATATCAATAATCTCAAGTAATAAGAGATGGTATATATTGGTTTATAAGTATAATCCATAACCAGAACACTTAAGAAGGCATACAACATACATATACTAATAAGACAAGCTCAGAACAAGTCTCTCACATAATCTTTTATCTTGTTAGTCCTAAGCCACTCTATGTATTTACACTCATTCTACTTTTTCAAAAGTTGTTGTAATTGTGACTACTAGCTTTCTCAATAAATTTGTATCTTTTACATGCATTATATATTGTCTTTATAATGCTAACATTCTTTTCATTATTTTGTTTTAGGGTCAACGGTATGTTTCTTAGTATGACTATATTGTTTGATGTATTAGTCACTATTGTCTTTTCTTTATCAAATAACCAACTCGTAAATGAATGTCCCTTTAATTATTTGGTTAGTAGATGATTGTTAAACATACAAACTACTTTCACACCCTACTCATTATCCTTTATCAATTTAATCTCATATAACTCAAATGGACAACATTCTCATTCCCTTATGATGTATTTCTTCTACATTTGCCTTATTCTTTTGTTGCCTATATTTTTCACTTCATTCATATGCCAAATTTATTCTATGTTTTTTCGTTCGTACTGCCAAATCAAATTTTTTAACCACAACAACAAAACCATTATTTTTTCCGACCTGTTTAACCTATGAGATCAAGATTTTTCTATTACAAAACACTTGCAGAACATATTTTGCTTATCACTTTGTGCTTTTATATAATCTAACATTAAAAACACAATCTTTTTGCCTCTACATAATCTAACTTTGAAAAACATAATCTTACTTTTTTAATAATAAATGAATAACTACAACCATATCTAGTATTGGTGGTGATTAATTCCTCTCTACAAGTGCAATTTTCAATTTGTTTCACATATTCAAATAAGTTAAAAAAATAAAATAATCACATTAACGAATATGCGTATCAAGTAAATTTTGTATATTTTCGAATATGCATATTGGAAAATGTAATATCTAGATATGTATTTTGGATATACAGATCCAGAAATAATATTATATTTCCAAAAAATGTATATCCGATAACATATAAAACTTATCGGATATATATTTGTTTTCCAAATAAGAATTAAGAAATACATTTTCATATAGTGTAAATTTTTTAGTTTAAATTGCAATTAAAAGAATTGACCTTATTGTTTATTCGACACTCTACATCCCGACCAATGTTTTTTCTATTTAGGTATCCATTTCCACAATGTACAAGATAATATTAGCAGTTTTAATGGTTTAAGGTTTGTGATGGAGATAAAGCAGAGAATAAGAGATGAAAAATAAGAGAAATAGTAGAAATAGTTGTTTAAAAGGGTTAAAAGTAATTTGTCAAAGGTTAATTAAGTAATTTCTTTTAAGAGTGTGTTTGTAGTAAACACAGAATGTATAAAGCAAATTTAGAGGTACAAATAAAAGCTTTCTTAGGATTCAATGAGATAATTCACTAAATTCTTTTAGGTTAGATGGTTCATGTAACCATACTTAAATGTGACATCTAGTAAATCTATTATTCAAATTCTAACATTTGTAATCTCTTTGTCTTATTCTCATAGTATAAATTTTTTATGAAAAGAAAACTGAACCCATTCTTCTAATCCAAAAATTTTGGAGGCATGATCTACTTGGAAAGTGTCAATTGCATCGCATTATACCTTCAAAGAGGTTGGTAGAAAGTTGTTAGATGTCATATTAAGATACAACCTGCTAGAATAATAGTCCTATATAATACACAAATATAACAACAACAAATACAATTCCAAAACCACGAAAGATTATCAAATAAAATTCATATTTTAGAATAAGATTAAGCCATTAATTAATAAAATCATCATCATCATCATCATCATCATCATCATTATTATTATATATACTGATGGAGTTTTATAATTTTAAAAATAAAATTATATAGTTGTCACATGTCTATTTAATTTTTCTACCGTATTTTCTTTTCCTGAACTCATTTCAAATGGGATGAAAAATGGTAACTGAGCATACAAACCCTTCCATTGCTAGAGGCATTACACTTATGAGAACTCTCACTCATGAGGACAAGCAGCGAAGTAAGGCTTTCCACCTATAAGTGTTGTGAGTTCACGGTATTAATTACACTATGCCTGATAAGTAACATAACAGGCTGTCACATGACCCGTAAAGCATATGCTAGTGTCATGGGTCAGACTTAACCTCCAAGCTTGTGAGGCTGCAAAACTTGGGCATAGACTCATCCGACATCCTAGATCAACCTAACTATCACGGTTCATACCCTTGTGAGGTATTGTCCACTTCGATTCCCTTGGTCTCATAGTTTTATCCCACAAAAAACACCTCACAAGTTGAAGGTGGTGTGAACCCTTATATCCCATGACCAACTTTAATACACAGTCAATGTAGGATTTCAGGCTCTACCCTAGGCTGTGACATCCTCCCCCACTCCAACAAGGGACCACCATCCTTGGTGGCATATCTCTAGTACTCTTAGAGCTAGCTTTGATACCAACTGTCACGAGCTCTAACCTCTGACTTAGAATCTATGTGACTTTAGATTAGGAATATGTTCTTTAGGTTTAAGTCAGCCTATGAACCAAGCGTGCGGGGAAACAAACAACTGAAAATGTAGAATACGCAAATTAAAGAGAACACAAAGAATGCTGGAATAAGTAGTGTATTACTAAAGAACAATATGTCTGATAATGTACAACTGAGGGTGGGGTGACCCTTTATTTATAGTTGAAGCCTTCAGCTCTACTTATGGCTATCTCCTAAAATCAAATGATTTACAAGATTCTTAAAAAATCAGGGATTATATATTATTATATAGATTACATAAGGCTTCTCTTGATTTTAAAGGTAAACCAAATCCTCCTACTGAATATTGTCGATCCTAAATGCCTCTGGAAGATTCTATATTGGCCATGCTCTCATAGGTCCACCTAAGTGCAGTGGGGGCATGTTGCGGGCTTGGCCTTAGCTGTGTGAGTAGGCCTGCATGCTGTGTGGGTGGTTTGGACTCTTTCCCATGCTTATTGCACCAACTCTCGTAACTATCTCTAGTGCTCGAGCCTTGACCTTAGGTGCTCGGGCCTCAGCTCCTGGTGTGTCTGCCCAAGGTGTGACACTAGCACACCTTGTTGCATCATCCTTCTGAATGAAACAACTTAATTTAGTCAAGTAAATGTCAACACATATTAATCTCCCTAATTTAAAAATATCACGTATGTATTCTATTACTAACACCTTTAACTTGGAATTTGGAAGTTTCAACTAAACACTTTTTTTTTCATTTTTCATTTTTTAAAATTTTTTTAAAAAAATTAAATTCTTTGAATTTGGAATATTAATTTTTTTTTCTTTTGGGATAACATTTTTCATCTAGCAAGACAAGTTTGTCTATTAGTGATTCAATTGTTTTGGAAATAAATTTTTTATGAAAAAAATTGTAGTTGTAGATAAAAAAAAAGAAAGTAACAAGTGTTGGATTTAAATTCTAAATTTGATGTCATCTTCTAAATTATTTGGGTGAATAAATTAAATTAAATTTCAAAAGAAAAAGAAAAAAAAACGTTTTTTTACTAATATCAATGATGTCTCATCAAGAAAATTACATCAAACAAAGTCGTTGAAAAGCCTTTCTATTTTTGATTGTATATTGCCATGCAAATGCTAGTATATTTTTTGTGAGATTGTGATAGTGTTTAGATTTTTTTTACACAGTTTCTTTAGAGTTTCTTAAAATTTGCTAACAACTAAAGAATGCATTCTGAGTGAGTAGTTGTCAGAATTTTAAAAAGTTAAAAGGAAAGCAATGCAGTAGTAGAAGTGGTAATTTTTAGTTAGGAGGAATATTGAGAGGAACAGTAAACCTGATTAATTACAAAAAATTGAGGGAACTTTTAAGAAAAATTATTTCATAACCCTTAATAGACTTATCATGATACGTTTAAAATAATTAATAATCAATTTAATAAATAAAAGCACATACGATAATTTTATAAATTTTCATTGCACAATATATACAACGTTCTGATTGAGTTGATGTCATAAGTTATACTAATTTAATTGAAAATTGATAAAAAGACAAATAATTATATAATAAAATATATTTATATAAAATAAGGTTATATTGATAATTTCCTACTCCTTGAAATTAAGTAGAGTGAGAACGAACGGCTAGAAGGAATAGCAGCGAAGAAGTAAGTGTCGAAGGGAGTCGACGGCTAATGGACCTTTAGTTTGGCTGTCAAAGGAGGATCGGGATTGGAATATGTCTTTCGATGTCGGTTTGGCTGAGGGTAAAAAGAGGAATGAAGAAGAATTTGTGAAATAGAACAAATTTGTTAGTAGATTTGATCGTAATTAATTTTTTTAAGGTAAAATAGAATCTATTTTTTCAAGCCAAACGTCTTTTAATAGTGAAAGCTTTCATTCCTTTATTAATACTGAATTACTAGTAGGTTTGCCAATGAAATTTTGGTTTAGTGAGAAGGATGATGTTTTGTAATTTTAAGATTTTAAGTTTAAATTTTATTATGTGTAGATTTAATTGTTTAATTAAGTTTAAATTTATTATTAATTATTTGATGATATAATAATTGATTATATAAATATAATATTTGAATAAATGTAATATTTAATTCTAAACGTAACTTTGAAAATATAAATATAATATTTGAGTAAATGTAATATTTAATTATGAATATAATTTAAAATATATATATATGTGTGTGTTGGGGGGGGGGTGTGTTAAGGACTTAAACTTAAAACATAGTAAAACACTACTAGACTTGACAGACTCAGGCTTACATTCACATTCCTCTTTTTCTTTTCTTTTCTTTTTCTTTCTTCATGTTTTCGTCACGTATCTCTCTTAGTTTGTTCTTGTTATTTTAGACTATCTAAATAAACTAAGCCAAGCTAGCTGCACTACTTTCACATTCTTGAAATTACTAGTACTCTATATATATATAAACTCGAAAAGAATTAGTCTTAAGATTTAGAATTCTGACAGAAGCCAAAACTGAAAATATGTCATCACATTCCAAAAGACCAAGCCTGGATTCTCTTACCACTCGCTACCCTGACTCATTGAGTTTCACAGCAACCAATGAGAAAGACATAAACAAGCCTGACTTCAAAGAACTCGATCTGCTGGGTTCTCCTGTTTCACCGTTACTCTCCACCCGTCTTTCCATCAACAACAATGGAAATGCTGTCGCCACTACAACATCAAGTACTAGCTCAAGCTCATCAGCTGGTTCAGTTTCCAGCAAAACCAACAACAAGACGGCTACCCATTTGCCCAAAGGTAATGGCTTGAACAACAATAATTCAGGGGAGCTGTCGGAGACAAGCCCATCTGTACTCGGATCCGCCCCAACAAACCGGAATCTTAGGCCGGGCCACAGGAGATCCGTGTCTGCTGGACCCCCATTGATCTACTCTGGTTCAAGCTTGAGTGGGACAACCTCTTCTTCATCGCCATCTGCTTGTTCCAATCCAAGCACCACAAATATTTTACCGAGTGGTAACATTTGCCCATCTGGAAAAATCCTCAAAACCAAGGCGTCTCGTACCTCTAACAAGACCGACACGCTTGGGGATGGCAAAGGAAACTATGGACACGGTAGCATAATGCGCGGTGGTGGTGGTGCTAAATTGGGGAGTGCTAGTGATCCTGAAGAAATGAAGAAAGCTGGTAATGAGATGTATAAAAGAGGGAATTTTGTGGAGGCATTGACATTGTATGATAAGGCCATATCCATTTCACCGGAAAACTCCGCGTACCGGAGCAATAGGGCAGCTGCGTTGACGGCTGTGGGAAGGTTGGGAGAGGCGGTCAGGGAATGTGAGGAGGCTGTTAGATTGGACCCTGGTTATTGCAGAGCTCATCAGAGGTTGTCTTCTCTTTATCTTAGGTGAGTTAGTTAATTTTCTTAGTTGATGATTTGGGTTATTTTTTTTCAATCATATGATTACTTATTATTTATCAGTGTTTTTCTTGTTCATATTAATGTGATTGGTGGGTGCTTTATTTATGTTCTCATTGGTGTTGGTGAGGATGGGATCTGTTCTTTTCTGTTTCTGTGGGCTTTTATCTCTTTCTCTTTCTTTGTTTGATTGGTTCTTATTTGCTCTCTCATTTTGTTCTTTGTCAATCCCACTTCTTCTTTTAATTCTTTGTTCTTGTCACTGCTAATACATTGAGATTGCTTCGTCTCTCTGTTGCTAGCCGTCTGGCAAGTTGTTAAAAGATTGTATTTTTTTTTTTTTTTTGGTTCATAATCGAATTTCATTTTGTTCTCTGATTGATTGTCCTTTAGCTTGTTCTGTTTATTGATTTAGACGTTCCATGAATTCTGTTTGGGATTCTTTTTTCATAATTTTTTTTTTGCCTTTTTGGATTAAGTTCAAACTGGCGTTTGGCATGGTTTGTGTAGTTAATGCCCGGTGAATTTCTATCCCATTCACTAACGTTGTATTCTCCGATTAAGGTTAATAAAATGGGTTTATCATTAGATTGTCTGGCTTCATGCTTTCTGAGAAGAATGGATTTTGGACAGAATATTAACAATTCTCAAATTTCTTTCTCCAGGTTAGGTCTTCCAGATAATGCCAGACACCACCTATGTTTCCCAAGGCAACATTCAGATCCAGCTGAGTTACAGAAGCTGCAGTTGTTGGAGAATCATATTAATCGGTGTGCAGATGCCCGAAAGATCAGTGATTGGAAGGGTGTACTAAGGGAAACTGATGCAGCAATAGCTGTTGGCGCAGACTCATCTCCTCAGGTACAGCTCTTGGCCTCAGTTATATATTTGCACTTGCTAGCTGTTTATGAAGTCAACTGCAGAATATCTGAGCTTGTTGAAATGAATTCACAGCTCATTGCTTGCAAAGCAGAAGCCTTTCTGAAGCTCCACCAAATTGAGGATGCATATTCCTGCCTATCAAACATTCCAAAATTGGAGCAATATACTCCCTCCTCACAGACTAGGTTGTTTGGTATGGCAACTGAAGCTTATGCCCTCTTTGTTCAAGCTCAAGTTGAGATGGCATTGGGAAGGTGAACTTTGAAAGATGAAGTTACTATTTACTGTTTGCTATTGTTGTTAGGGGCGAGTGAGAATGGATTATAAATTTCTTGCAGATTTGAGAATGCAGTTTCGGCAGCAGAGAAGGCTGGACACATTGATTGCAGCAATGTAGAGATTGCAACAGTAATAAACAATGTGCAAATGGTAGCAAGAGCACGGACTCGAGGCAATGACTTTTTCAATGCTGGAAGATATGCTGAAGCCTGCTCAGCTTATGGGGAAGGCCTAAGATTTGATACTTCTAACTCTATTCTATATTGCAATAGAGCAGTTTGCTGGTCTAAACTTGGACTTTGGGAAAAATCTGTAGAGGACTGCAACCAGGCACTAAAAATCGAACCAAATTACATAAAGGCCATACTTCGAAGGGCAGCCTCAAATGGAAAGGTGAAATGGCATTTGTATGGTTACTTGCTGCATCTGTTTTCAACTCTCTTTTTTGTTGATTAGTAACTGATTATCATGATATGTTCTTGTGGGATGTTATAGCTTGGACGGTGGGCAGATGCTGTGAGAGATTATGAGCTCTTGAGGAAGGAACTTCCTGGAGACAATGAAGTTGCTGAGTCTCTACACAATGCACAAGTTGCACTGAAGAAATCTTGTCGAGTTGATGTTAATTATAATAATATGAAAATTAGTGGTGAAGTAGAAGAAATTTCTAGCATAGATAGATTTAAAACTGCAATATCGTCACCAGGTGAGATTGAGGCCTTCATGTGGTTCTCTTTTCCTTAATTTGAGTCTTGATTTTCCTATCTGATTTAGAAGATGAAGTTTCAGGCATATCAGTGGTCCATTTTAAAGTGGCAGCCAATGAACAATGTGAAGAAATATCCCCATTCATAAACTTGCTTTGCGTTCGGTATCCATCTGTTCATTTTTTCAAGGTAGGCATTTGAGTGTTCTTAACTTGTTGAAATCATTTTGTCACTTGCATTCTGCACCAACATTATACCATGTTCCTAAAGATTCAATTAATTGGTATACTGATTTTCTTGGTTGTTTTGCTTTTAATTTTCTTTTAGATGATGCTTCAGTTCGATTACTTGCTTGTGATGCCAAAGTTGTACCATAGTGATTCTAACAAACATGACTTGATATAAAAGGACCAGTTTAAGTGTTAACACATGTCTTTTTGTCTTGTGACTGAAGGTGGATGTGGAGGAGAGCTTAGCTGTGGCAAAAGCTGAGAATATAAGAATGGTCCCAACTTTTAAGATTTATAAGAATGGAGACAAAGTGAAGGAGATGATCTGCCCTAGCCATCAGTTCTTGGAGGACTCAGTGAGGAACTATATTCTGTAAAAAAAGTAATTGCTTTTCTTTTGTGGCTCAAGCCCTACCCCAAACAGCATTTGATGATAATTGTCCAAAGCTTTCATTGTCATTTCTTGATTCATACTAGGATCAGCAGCTTTACTAGTTATATAATCAGCTACATAATTGTTTCATAGATCTCTGAGAGGCAAGAAAAGCCTCACGCTCAGGGAGAAAATAGCTTCCTAGTTTACATTTGTGGAATTCCTTAAATTCTTTTCTATATCTTTGCCTTCTTCTTTAGCTCTCAACCTTTGGATTGCACTACCACTAGTCTCTTTAATTTGAAGAAAAAGGAAAGAAAAAAGAAATGAGGGAGAGAGAAATAATCAGTTGAATAAGTCAAGTCTCATTCGCATGTCCCATGTCTCCTATGACAAGAAAAAGTGGGATAAAGTGTGGAATTTAATTATTTTGTCTCTCCAGTTGGAACTATATATTGAAGAGAGTGACAAGGAAGAGGTGAGAGGGTTGGCTGGTAGGTGACATAGTGTTTAGAGACCGGATGTCTGCTGGATACTGGGCTGGAAAGAGAGCTGAATTATTAATGTTTCATTCTAAAATCTTTACATTCACCTTTTGCAGTTTGATTTGGCTCAACTTTTTTACTTTTTGACCGTCTTTTTCCTTTTTGTGTTTTTCATAATTTTTGTTAAAATAACTTCAATACTGCAGACTTACAACAATCCAATATTTCCTTCCCAAGTAACAACCTTCCAGATGCAGAAATTAAATCAGCTTCTGGTTTCATTTTTTAAAAAGAAGGTCAAATCCTGCACGCGTTCACCTTCAGGCAGACTGGAAACCAGATAGGAGCTGATAACAGCGTTATATTGGTTCCAGTCTTCTTTTGAAGCCAAGACACAGACACTGCACAGCTGTTCACTTCGCCGGTCACACTACTCTGTACAACGTCTGTTAAGATGGGTGCTGTGCTTAGCATTTTGAAGGCATGAAATGGCTTTTTATTTTTATTTTTTGCCATATTTGTCTCTAAGGATGTTTCTCTGCGAAAAGTTGCACAGCAAAGGCTAGAAACTCTATCAATAATTAATCACTGAGCGGGGTTGGGACTTGGGAGCATTTCCCTCCCTCTGCTCTTTACCGCCAATGTCCAATTATACCCAAGGATGTAGTTTTGTTTTCCTTTGCTCATGTTTAAGACCATGTTTAGCGTAACCCTGAAATTAGTTTCAGTGATATCATACATAATGTTTGAGTTGAAATTGTCCGTTATATCCATAGATTGAAACAATGATAAAGGAGATGTTTGTAGCATAAAAATAAGGATGGAGATGAGATGAAATGTGATGAGAAAAAATAAAAAAAATAATGATAATATAATTTTATACTAATATATTTTATATATCATGGTAAAAAATTATAAAAAATTATAAAAAAAATGCAAATATAAAAAAATATATTAATAAACTAATAAATGAACTTGAAACGAAAAATATTATTAAAAAATTATAAAATTATAAAATTATCAATAAGAAAACATAATAAAAAATAAAATCTTATTATTAATAATATGAGAAGCAATAATCGTAAGAAGAAGAAAGTGTAATAGAAACATGAAAGAATCTCATATAATCACTTATCCTTAAAAAAAGTAAAAAACCATAAGTCACAAGACAATCATAAGACAAAAACATAAATATTATAAAATAAAAAATTTCAATAAATTTTAATAACTAACGGTTTAAAAAAAAATAAATATAAAAAAAAGTCAATAATCCAAATAAATGTCGAGCAATCAAAAGTTTATTATGTTTCATGCAAGAAAATTAGGATATATAAGTTAAGAATTTATGTAAAAAAGACTTGGTATTTATTGCAAAATGTTTGAATTATATATATATATATATATAAATGATGATTTTTAAGGCTAACAAATATTTGAAAATTAATTAAGATTATTTTTATTTTCTAATAATTTTTATATATTCAAATCAATTAATTGTTTTATTATTTACGTAATCATACATCTTTTCAACGTTGCATGAAAAAAAGTTGGTAAGTTAAATGTTCACTTTCCAACATTGCATAAAAAAAGTCGGTAAGTTAAACATAAAAAATTTATTGAATGATCGCTTTTCAACATTTTAAGTATACCCAACTTTCTTAACCTATAATCTATTTATCTTTCCTAACCCACAATCTATCTATTGATCTTATTCCTAATTTAATGGTGTGATTTACTTGATTTAAAATACATGCTTCACATTTTATATTTCTTTCCCTTTGCATTTTCAAATTAATTACATTTTTTATTTATTACTTTTATACGGGACTACTATAAATAAAAGTTTTCTATTGTAATTAATCTTATAATATTACTTTGGAGTCATTTAAATTCAAATTTTGAAAAATAAATTATGGGCATCCAAATTTTAATTAATTATCACCCAAAAATTATTGCAAAATCCTAACTTTAGGTGGCTTTATGTACTAATGCGACCCATGAAAGTGAACGAGATATAAGGTTAGTTTTCAACAAAATATTTTTTTCTCTTTTCCACTATGATTAAACCAAAACTTCTTAGCAATTTCGTATGGTTGTGCTTTCTTTTCTCAACCTATAAACTTAAATTTTCAATTTATTATTATTGCTACACTTATCCTGAGACATGAAATTATAGTTGTTTAGTCGCTTTAAATGGTGTATGATCTCATAATTTAAATTTCATCAAGAAAAGATTTGGAAGCAAGATTAAAATCTAAACTATTCACCAATTTCATTTTCGGTGTTAAACTTATAGATTTTATATTATTTTTTATTTTCTTTAAAGATTTTACTTTTGTTTGCTTGAAGTGCATGAATCATGATGATAAAGCTTAATGATTCGTAATCCAACCTTTCAATTACTTGAAAATTTAACCATTCGACAAAATAGCAACCATAATTGCATTCTAGCCTTGATACGTGTGTTTTTGTTTTTGCAACAAGAGGTAATCTTAAACTATTTAGCAATACATTTTATGAGTGTTTGAGATCTTGGGATTTATATTATTCTTACATTCACGTAGGGACATCTTTTACTGATGCAAAATGGTCTTTTTAGTTATGAGATTATTTTTTATATTCACAATTTGAAAATGAAAAAATTTGTATAATTAATTGGTTGATCAAAACGTATCTATAAATAGTGATAGTGGCGTTTTTTGTTTACTTACCCATCTATAAAATTAGCCAACAAATTATCAATAAAACTAATTGGTGTCATTTTTTATTTGCACACTGATGCAATCATGTAGAGAGAGATTTTTATAATTTGAATATCAATTTTCAATTTCACAAGTGTAAATGTTTTTATTTGTAACATATTGTACCTTTAATAAAGCTTTAGCAAATGGATTGTATTATGTGTGGATAGGACAATTTATGTTTTTGTGTCTTGTGTCGTATTTGATATGTGTAATGACACAAATTATTAAAATACGAATATGATATAAATTATAAAATATATTTAAATTCTAAATATGAATAAAAGACATTTAAAATGTGTTACACGTAATACGAAATGATTAATACATTCACAATTAATTTGTTTAAACGCGACACCAAAAAACACGAATAATACGGATATACATAAATAGACACAGTTAACACGAATATACATGAATAGATACGATTAATATGAATATATATAAGAATACGACTAAAATAATAAATAACTATAAATTATCCATCATTTATAACTTAATAAATTTGACATATTAATAATATAAAAAAACTTACATATTAAAAAATAAAAAAATTTAATACTCATTTAATATGTATTTAATATATATATTCAAATTTTAATTTCTAACACATAACTATATTAATTTTTAGTATCAAATTCAAAATGATAAACTATTAAATATTAAAAAATAAAATAATAATATATAGGGCTAATATTAATATTTATATTATTATTAATATAAAAAAATAATTTTATAATAATTATTAAATAAGTATCATAATTAAATTTTTTAAAATAATTTTTATACGATATTAAATAGCTAATTAAATATCATAATTAAAAAATTAAAAATTAAAATAATCTTTATATGATTATATTAAATTAAATTAAATAAATATAAGAAATGTGTTAAACATATTAAACGTGTACTCTATAATAAAATTAAATTAAACATGTTATTTGTGTCGTATTTTGTGTTTAAAAAAGTCAATACATATACGACACAAATTATGTTATGTCGAAATTTATGTTGACACGAATAAACATGAAATACGTTTTTTTTTTTAAATACATACATAATTTTTTTATGTCATTTTTATATCGTATCATCGTATCATATTTGAAATTATCATATCTAATTATGGATTCTTTCCAATGCAGTTCATGCTAAAATCTTTAGACATTTGATTACAATATATTTACATGTAGTTTTAGCAAAAGGATATTGCTAATTCTTTGCAACTATTAGCTTTATTGATTATATATATATATATATATATATATATTATTTTCAAAGTCCACTTTATTACTTTTGACAATTAAATTTGATAGCACATAAAAATAATCAAAACTGTTACTTTAGGGTACAATTTCACTTATTATTATTCAATTATAATAAAAAATTATATAAAAATCCATCAGCGTCAGTTTCTTCTAAAATTTTAATTGGCCTCATACTATTTTAAATTGTAATTAATTTATTATACTACAATAATTTTAGATGATATGCTCTCCAAATTTAAGATGTGGTTTCTTAAGTTTCCTTATTTATTAAAAAAAAAAAAAAACAATTCTGCAAGTTTAGGGTGTGTGGTTTATTAAGTTTCCTTATTATTAGGGAAAAACCAATTATGTTAAATTATTTTACTTTATTTGGAGCAACTTCTTTGTTAGATAAAAAATTTATGAACAATTTGATCTTAAATTCAATGTTGATTTTTATTTTCATATTTAATTTTTTTCTTAGGTTAAGTCAGTTGATTTATATTTATAAATGAGATATTACTATTAAAATCAATACATTATTATTATATCAGGAGTGGCAAAAATTTTTCCCAAAAAAGGTGATGGGATAAATTAATACTTTCCATTATATGTTATCATGCATAACTTTATTTTTTAAACGAAAATATTTAATTTTTAAATAATATTATATGTAGCAAAAATTATAATTAATTTGCTTAACCGTGCTATGCATGGGCTTAAAACTAATTTTAATTAAAAGTTAATAAATGATTGTCTGAGCTTAGTTCAAGTGATATAACTTTAAAAATTATTGATGAATCAATATTTATTACTAAATGAAAGGCTAATATAACCCAAAAATTTAGTACAAGTTTCAAAAAATACTCTAAAAGAAGAAAACAAGGATGTCGACGGATTTTTTTGATTAACTGGCATGTCATTTAGAGTTGAAATTTAGAGATTATGAATTAAAAAAATATTATGTTTTTAATTTTTTTAACCACATAAATAATAAAAAAAAAGAGGTTTAAGGATAGATTTGAAAAAAAAAAAAAAGGACTAAACCTTAATAGCAATTTTGGATTGTGTGATCTACATAAGATTTTTGTGATGGGAGCAAAGCAGTGAAATAGTGACCATGTTGTGGTTGTGGCAATGGCAAGCGGGGGCATTTCTTTTGTGTTTGATTTGTAGGCAATTGGGCTTTTTTTTTTTTTTTTTAATCCATTGCAAGAGATGAAATGACAAAGCAGAGACAGGATAAGAGAATCCAAGGTCATACTAATTTCTGATTGAAGTCATGCCTTCAGAAAATAATAAATGTATACTCTACAGTACCAAACAGATGAGACTTGGTGCAAAAACATAAGATTCATGACATCTTCTCAGAACTACTCTTCCTGGAACAAATAATTAATTTTATTTGATTTAAAGGTTTTTTTTTTTTCTTTTCTTTTGAATATTCAGAAGAAGGTTTGTGTATATAATTGAATTTGATGTAGCCGGCCGGTCAACTGATGAGCCCAAAATTTTAAACCGAAAATAGCTGTGTGGATGTGGAACAGGCCGAAAATTCTCCGTAAATCCACGAGAATGTGACCAACTGTTCTTCCATGAAGGCAGATTTTTTGTTTTTTGGTAAACAAGAATTTTAATACCTGATAAATTTCAAATTCTAATCCAAAGACCTCCACCGGAATTTTAACATCATGTTGTTTTGTTTGATCAAAGACTAAAATATTTTCGAAGAACAAGAAAATCTATTCCAATATAACCAAATTGTATTAGACAAAAATATGATTCATGATAAAACTTATATATTTATATATATATATATATATATATATATGTAACAAGAAATTTCTTATTCATCCCAAGTTCCATTTGTACTGCTCAAAGACTAAAGCAACTTAATTTGAACCCAGATTTAACCCTGCAAAGTGACCATAATAATGAAGGCATGCATGCAAATTGCCGATATTACAATAAATAGGTCACTGGCCAGCAGCAAAAGCCTCAACAGGGAATGTCTTGGTGATCCCAGCAAGACTCTTGAAATGTATCTTCCCTGGTTTTTTATCATCAATGGTGATCTCACTCACCGGAGGCCATAGCATCAGCTCCTTGGCCTTCACTCCTTTGAGCTTCTTGATCCTTTTCTTCTCAACAAAGCCGTTAATCTCATTGTCATAGCTCACTAGCTTGCTGATCATCTTGAACTCATGCTCCACTTTCTTCTCCTGCACAATCCACATGTATCCAGTTTCTTTCACGTAACCCACTTCCACCACGTTGGCTAGAGGCAGAAGCCCTTCGGGGAGGTCGAACTCTTGCAAAAGGGAAATTGCCATTTTCATTCCTTGCTCGTGACCTTTCTTCACGATGCCTCCTTCCTTATTATCAGCCATGCTACAAATTAATTCCTCAGAACTTGATTTAATATTTGAAGATAGCTAGAAATTTGAGAGATATGTAGTTGGATCTTGGAGTTGTGGGAGAAACGGTGCTAATTAATATATAGAGTTTAGAAGATAAATGTGGGACAAGATTAGTGGGGGGAAACAAAGTACAGGTGCATTGAAGTATTCGTCCTTCAACCTATGGCATTAGTTCTATGCTTTCACATAATTTTCCTCACCTTTGTGTCTGTATTCTTTTGTCTTATTGAAGTACCTAGTATTGATTGGCCAAAAAAAAACAAAATCTTTTATTCAAATTTCAACGTAAAATTAAGTCTGATACTCTTTCACAGACGATCATATAATAACTATTTTAAATTTTAAGAATCATATATAAATATTAGAACATTAAATTTAATTAAATTATATATATATGTTTGGATAGTCATAAATAATAAGCGAAAGCAATATTAATTCTTGAAAAAATTAGGTATTTTTTTTTTGCTTTTGTCTTATAAGTGACTTTCAATTGAAAGATACCGTTAATTAGAATTGAAAAGAGGACTTTAGTCAAATATTATTAAAACTTTAGAAATCTCTCCATCAAAGGTTTACCAAATCAAAAGCTTACACAGCTATTAAATCACATTGACCCAATATGATGTGTAAAACGTACACATAAATGATCACAATTAATTATTTGGACTTTTATGCTTGTCTTGTATTAAGACTAAACTCATTTGCCAGTTTTATTAAATTATTAAAATCACTAATAAATAGTAGCTCATTTACGAAAAATTCTAATATTATTCCACTTAGACAATATTAATTGTGTTATTTGATTTTAAAAAAATTTAATTTAGAAAACAAAACTCTAAGTTGATTAACTTTACTTTAATGTGGTCAGGTTTAAAAAATAATTTAGCCTGTAAGATAATATTTTAATAATCTTGTTTTATAAAATCATCTAAAACTGAATCATAGTAGCCATTATGCCTGTTATTGACATAACACCAATCTATGGTTATAAGTACCAGTGACTCTATCAACAACAAATCTCAGTATGGCTGTGTAGCAAGAAAAATACACTTAAATCTGATCACAATAAGTTATTTTTATTATCAATCCTTTTGTGAATTTTTCTAAACTTGTTGAGAAATCTTTATGGTATCCACAAGATATGCTTGTATGTCTCCTTTTTATCCTCAGGATTACTAACTAGTATCGTTTATGAGACATATTCAAATGACATTAAATTCATATTTAATACAGACACCAAGTTTTAAGATTTTATAATATAACATGTCAATATAAGATATGTGATGCAATCATATAAACATATATATACAAATAACAACTATAATGTATATATAAAAAAATTGTGTTCACTTAACTTGATGATATCTTATGGACTTATTCATCTTAAATTATATTTTACAGGTAATTAACAATCACATATGATGCATTTAACAAAGTAAAGAAACCTATAATAATAATGGTTTCAAAAGCAAATATATAATGTTTCATTGCCATAATCATCCAATAACTTAATAGATTCTATTTTCCATACCTGTAGATATCTATATTATGAGTTTGGTAATACCATAATCCTCACATAGAGAAAATATATCATCATGTAACCAAATCACAACGACTCCTATTGATCTAACGAATCACAAATATGCTCCAATCAAACTTTGAATAATAAATAAGGAGCACTTCAATAAATGGAGTCATAACAAAATTATCTATTGTTTACTCTCATGCCAAGTATGATAACCACTATTATTCTTGAACTTTCATGATATCATTTTAATAAATCATTTACAAATTACTAATATATTATGAACAAATTTTCATATTCATATATTCCTAAAACACAAAATTTTTAATGTTTTAACAAGAGATCATTATTAATAAATTTAGAATTAATTGAATTACCAATTTTTTATATCTAATACATGCCTAAACCAATAGCCTATTAACTCCCACTGACCTTAACACATATGATATCTTCAAAATAATAACTTTAGATCATTTATGAGTTTTTACTACTTTAAAACATATGCAAAAAAACTCTCACTGATTTTCACTTCCTTTAAAAGAATAGTTTTGGCATTAATAAAATAATAATGATAAAAAATGTCAAAACCTTTATATTATCATTCTTTGAAATAACTTTTAAAAATAATTCATACATAGTTTAAAACAAGGGAAGTGAAATGAGAGAAAATTATAAAATTCTTGTTCTCTTTCAAAAGTAAACCAACAAAAATTTGGGAAAATTCTCAATGAAGCAATTGAACTAAAAACAAAACAAATAGTTTACTTGCACAAAACTTCATTCTTCAAAACTCTCACACATGTGATAAGTATAAAACAATATTCTCCTCTTCACATATGAATTCCTCAAAAGAAAATGTAAATTTTCTTTAAAACACATTGCTAACAAATGACAACTATATACCTTTTAAAATCGATAACTGTTAGATTTGATAATGATAACTAAGATAATCAAACCAATATCTTAATTAAGAGTTAAACAACCAAAATAAATATTTATTAAATGAAATTATATTTTAACAATTCTCAATTTTACTTAAAACAAATTGAGATATCATAACAAGTCCAAAACTTTCCTATGTGGAAGCTAACCATCTTGGCCATCATAAGACACTATACATTAAATGTATATCCTAATATGTGATAAATAAAAGTAACTAGAATTTATACATTTACTATGTTATACAAAACATCCAAGAACTTATCACTTATGGCATATATTAACTTATGATGACAAGTATTTAAACATACTAAAATTAAGTACAAAGGCCATTCAAATAAGACTTTAATTAATTTAATATCTTTACTAGTATTATTAAAACAATTAAGGTGCTATATCATAAATTTAATCTTGGACATTCTTTTAAAGAAAACATTTTACTTTTGCATGATCACACTTCAAAACAATGAAAAATACAAAAACTTTCGAGCCTAAAATGTCTTCTATCACACCTTTAACCTAAGCCTTACATTTCAAGCCAACAAAAGACCTATTGATCTTAAGTTAAGTATGTAAGTCTACATTAGTGGATAAGGTATGAGAAAAGCAAACTTATGAAATATGCTTTGTATTTGAATTAATATGCAATGGCATACTTTGCATACTCTTTACTTAGATTGCATGCATAAATTAGAGATAGATTAAAACATATATACATGGAAGTTACGAGAAATGAGAATCTTAATCTTGAATAAATTTTGTGTTCTATCTATGTTTATATTGTCCACAAATTATACAATAGTGCATGATTGAGAACTTATGAGACTTTGAGTTCAAATCCATATATTTTTATTGTTAGCATAATTAATTTGAAATTGTTTTGCATGATGACAAGCAAAGACCTAAGTGTGAGAGTGTAATGAATGTTTAAAATTAAGGTTTTTTTAGGTCATGTTTGTTTTAAAATATTGAAAAATTTAGTGATCTTTGTTAAATTCCTAAAATTTTGTTTTTTAATGTGCAACAAATTCATGTTTATAAAGTTGCATGAAGAATTATGGTAGTCTAAGTTCATTTTGATCAAAATGTTTAAAAGCTTGTATGACTTGCATGATATGCAAGAAATCCATACAAACCATACAAAGATTACAAACACATTCAGCTATGCAAAAGGTGATAACCTAATCTAGCCAACATGTCTAACCCAATCCAAGAATCAACCAAATAAGCCCTATTGCCCACAAAAGGTTTAGCCTATGCAAGAAAATGAAAGAAGAACAAGTTTGCTTCAAGTAAAAGATGATTTGAATTCAAAAGAATTTGAAAGCAATAAAAAAAAGATCAAAAGAAGATTGTGCATCTATTTCAAATCATGACTGAATCTTCCATTTTAAACTTAAGAAAATTTAAATTCAAATGATGTGGCATGGATGGCACACATGTACCAATCCAAGCACACCATTCAACAAAATAAGCATCTACCTAAGCAACTTCACTCTTAGTCATCCTTTGAACTTCACCAAAACAAGGATACTTTTAAATTTAAAAAAGAGTTTCGGCCAAGCTAAGAATGTCTAGGTTCATCATTTATCTTATGACCCTTTTACAATAAATAGGCTAATTTACAAGATGGAAAAATACCTTTCTACTTAGTAAATTTTTTTTTTTTTTTAGTTTGGTTAGGGTGGTAGACTAGCCTTCAATCTTTGTTTCAAACTTTGTTTCATTTCAATACAAGTTATTTTAAAGTTATTTACAAACATTCTTTTAAGTTCTGTGCAAGTTAAGTTCAAGTTTCATTTTCAAGTTTTATGCTTTGCTGTTTACTTTCCTACAGCCTTAAACATTTTGTAATTTTCTTGCTTTCACTTTCTTTTAAATTCTTACAAGTTTTCTTTGTTATATTCGTCCAACATAGATGCTAACTTAAATTATCTTATGAGGTGCTTCAACCGACCTTTATAGCCCTATTTCATGTGGTTTTTATTTTCCTAAAGTGTAATTAACACCATTTCGGCCTTTGGTAGGTTTTGGTTTTTATCTTGCCATTTTGCTCACCATTCTCGACCTACATAATTTATTATTTCATTTACTTTATGCAAATAATTTTATTTTTATGCTCATGCTTAATTACATTTTGTTCTATACTTAGTACCATTTAACCTAGTGTTCTTTAATATGTTTTAAGCATTTTCTTGTTATCATATAATTACTTGCTTTTCATTCAATTCCATGTTATTTAGTTTCATGCTTTTAAGACAATTTAGTTTAAGTTGTTTATTCACTTAAGTTCTATCCATAACGATCGGCCTCTTTTTCATTCATGTCATTTCCCATGTCTCCTGTATTTTAAGGTTAGATCATTGTTTTCATATTGCTTGTTACTGATTTATGACTTTTAGTTTTAGTTATATTCTTGCAAGCATTTGACCAATTATATTTACATCATCTTAATATAAGGTAAAAAGAATCAATTTTAGCACTTGGTTTTCGGTGCACCTCTTACATAATCCTTGTCGGAATGATTTTACTCACTTCATTACTTGATACGATCTGTGTACTTGCAAGCATAAAAACTAGCAATCATTTAGCATATTTTTCATCTTATCCAATTCTCTTATTTCTTTTTGGGCTTTTTCAATCTTTTCTAATCAACTAGACTATTCTTGTTCTATGATTTTCACTTGGGTGTGAGTACTATATGAGTGGCAAATAGGTTGAGTAGGAATATTTGACAGTCAAGCTATCTTTAACCTTTATTACGACAATTAGGACATTATATTAATACAAGTTTATGCTATGAAAGAATGGTTTTACAAAAAAAATCCCAATATGCAACAACCAAAATTTCAAGTTAACACAAAATGACATGAATGAAATGCATGAATTAAAGGAATGCAAAGATATTTATGGTATAGTGTTTTCTTACTTTCAGTTAAAACAACAAATGAAGAAATTTAGTTAACACACACTTCATCATATGCTTCAAAATGACAATTCATTATATGTCTCATGCAACATGATATATACAAAAATGGTCAATTAGCACATAATATAAAGAGAAATCAATTAATCAGTGTAAAAAAAAATGTATGTAACGTAAATGTTGAATTATTTCTATAAAGGGGAAGATATGGCACTATCATAGGTTAAGTCCATTAAGGTTCACTATATGAGTAGTTTGGGTTTTCAATCTAAATGTTCACAAATTGCTCATCACTGTTATACATGATGGATTAGGAAAGCATATTAATCCTCACCCATTACAAGCTACAAATGGTAAGGATTCAATTTAAGTCGAAGTATTTTGCTAGCTTGTGCAAAGGCATGAAACCTTATAAAAGTATAAGTGCTTTACTCCCTCTTAAAAGGACAGTGCCGTATCTAGAGTTTATGTTATACATATGTAGTATGAATTAGTGACAATATCTTAGCAAAAATAATTAAAATATTGAAAGAAAAGTAAAAAGAAAAAGAAATTAAAATGATTGAAGTTTTAACACAAAACAATTACTGGCTCGACTTTCAAGGATTTTCAGTGGAGTCACCAAACTTTCATAACGTTTAGATCTATAAACTTGATCATTAAACAAACATATAGAGCTACTACAATCTTTTTTATTTAGGTGTTATTAGTTATCTAATTGAATCTATCATCTTTTAAAGAGATCCTAAGCTCAACTCAAGTTTTTCAAAAAAGTAAATTCTTGTTTATGAAAACATATTAAGTCTGAGAGTATGGTTACGTGTAAGGAGGTTATAAAATCTTTAGGACGTTCATCCAAAAAATAGTACCAATTAATTTCCTGTTATCCAAAGTCTAAAAACTTTTTTAAAAATCTTCTTAAACAATTTATATGTCGAAAATTGTACTTAAATTACTCCAACAGTTTGGTAAAAATTTAAAAATATTTTATCACCTCAAGAATATTCAAGAAAACTATTATCGCTTTTAAAGAAGCTTAGTCATCGGATTTTATTGTCAAAAGGTTTAGGTCAATAAAAATCCTCCAATAATTTAATAAGATTTTATTTAAAAAATATCATCTAATAGTTTGGTAGTATTAATTTAATTTTAAAAATTATTTTTAAAATACATGATTTCCTCCGATAGTTGGTAAGATTTCATAAATTTTATTTCAAAATTAGTTTAAAAATATATGAAATCCTCTAATAGTTTGATCAGCTTTTATGAATTTATTTCCAAAAGTTTAGAAAACATACTAGTTTTGAGAGTACGATTATATAAAAGAAACGTTATAATATCCCCCACAACGTTTATCCAAAAGATGATACCAATTTATTTTGTATTATCCAAAGCTTAAAAAACATCTTTGAAAATTCTTCTCAAACAGCTTACATATTGTAAAATTTTTTTAAATTACTTCAACAGTTTTATAGAAATTTAAAAATATTTTCTTACCTTAGAAGTATTCAATAAAATAATTTTCATTTTTTAAAAAATTTTTTCGTCAAATTTTATTATCAAAAGATTGAGGTCAATAAAAATTCTACAATAGTTTGGTAAGATTTTAATTCAAAAATATTCTCTAATTATTTGGTATGATTAATTTAATTTTAAAAATTATTTTTAAAATATGTAAAATCTTGCAGTAGTTTAGTAAGATTTCATAAATTTTATTTCAAGATTAGTTTAAAAATATATAAAATCTTTCAATAGTTCGATAAATTTTCATAAATTTATCTCCAAATTTTTTTCCTTTAACTTATGAAATTCTTCAATAATTTAATAGTCTTTTATGAATTTAATCTCAAAATTTTATTTGTCAACCTATGAAATCCTTTAATAATTTAATAAGATTTCATAAATTTAATTTTAAAATTTATTTATTTTTTAAACCTATAAAAATTCTTAAATAATTTGGTAGGATTTTATTAATTTACGTTTCAAAAATTATATTATAAACTCATAAAAACCATTCAATAATTTGATAAAATTTTATAAATTTATTTTCCAAAAAATATTTTTAAAGCATTTTCAATTCTTATATATTTTCAAATGATCAAGCTTTTAAGAAATATTCCCAAAAAAAAGTTAAAATAACCATATAAATAAAAAAAAGCACTTAAAATAAAGAAAAAAAAAACCAAAAATAAAAAAGTCAATAGCTTGTTAATAGCTAGTCAACGATTTTGAAACGGCTCACAGCTCTGCTTAGAAGTGACTCAAGACTCAAGAAGTAGTTTAATGATTCAGCTCCAGTTCAGCTCGTTGACTCAACTTGGCAACTTGATGGTTCAGTAGAAAGTATGTAGCAGGTCGATTGTAATCAAGCTGGGATAAAGAACGCGTCAACACGCAAACCTTACACCGTTCTAAACTGCGTCATTTCATTCCCTTGTTTAAGCCCATAATTTTCATATTTTCTATCCTTTTTTATTTCTTACTCTTTCTAACTCTGTTCTCTCTCTTCCTTTAAAATGGAAAACTTCGATAGTCAAAAAATTCAATCAATCACAAAAAAAAATCATATAAGCCTTTGGTTTCGTTTGCCATTTTTTTATTGTGCACCGTGGTAAGGGCTATAAATAAACCGAATATAAATGAATATATATACGGGTTTGTTTATTTATTTTTTTGAGGTATTTTGGTTTAATTTATATTTGATAAAAGAATTATTTTATTTATTTAAATAATAAAATATTTATATTTTATTTAATTAAATTAAATAAATTTATTCATAAACATCAAACGAATATATTTAAAATTTATATCAACGAATCATAACCAAATAAATAACTTTAAATGAATATAATTGAATCCAACCAAACATAAATAAAATTTAAAATAAGATTAAAAATATATATATATAATTTTATTTTTATTATTATTATTATTATTATTATTATAAATAAACAATAAATAAATAATAAATAAATGTGTGCTTTTTTAGGTAAATATCTTAAAAAGCCCTTTCGAAAAAGGTAAATATCTTAAAAATCCAAATAGGCAATAGAATTGGGAAAATGTGATCGGCGTGTCAGTCATATATATATATATATATATATCCCTTTAAAAACCCAATAACCAGTAGAAAATCGAGAAGAAAACGAAAACAATTTGATTTTGAAAAAAAAAAAGAAAAAGAGAGAAATGGAGAGTCTGAGCAGCAACAAAGCGAGCTCATTGCCATCGTCGAGAACGAAAAGAAAGAAGCAGAAGATTTGTCTAGCCGACTACATCGATTTCCTTTCCTCTCACAGACAACTCCCTCTCACCGTCAATTTCCTCAACCAGGTGGTCTATCCAGTACTCTTTTTTCTTCATTCAATTAATTCAAATTAAAACTATTTTGTTTTGTTTATCTTTGATGATCTGATTTATTTTCTTTTTCATAGATTATCTCCATTCACGGTTTCAAGAAATTGATCAAGGTTCCCAAGGTAATAAAACAAAACTCTGTTTCTCTACTTGATTTATCGATGGCTGCTTTAGTGACATTAAATTGACTAGAAAGCGGTGAGGGATGCGGTGGAGACGCTGGATCTGATGGATCCATCTCGTTCCACGCTGAAATCGAGCATATCATCGAGCGCATGGCTGACAGAGGAGGAGATAATCGGAGACCTCTGCCGTCTGGAATGGCAAGAGTGCTGCGTTACCTCCATCCAAGCCCTAAACTCGTCAACCGAACAACAATCCATCCCCAAAGCCAAAGCCAAAAGGAAGAGAAGAGCGCGCGTCTCTATTGCCGAAGGCGCTGACTCTTTGTCCTCCGCTTTAGTTTCCTTTCAATCATCTTGAGATTTGAGTTTCATTGGTATGTATTCCAACTGTCTTTCTGTTTCAACATATTTGTAATTTCTTCTCTGATTGATTGTTAACCTGTTTTTTAGGCGGGAGAATAACGGTAGACCTGTGATTTTGGAGAAGTTAGAAGGGTGTTTTTGGAGTTTCACGGGTTGTTGAAAAAATGTAATTAGCAAAATGTTTTTGTTTATTTTGTTGTAATCGCAGATTTTCCATTAAATGCTCTATTATTGGATTAGATTAGACTAAGTAATGTTAGAATGTAAGTCGTCGGTGTTTGTTCTTTGGTCTGATCCAAAGCCAACATCCAAATTCCGTTGGCTATGACAAACTGATCACTACTAAAACATAAAAATTCTTATGCACTTAATTTTTGAAAAACTAATTGTTTAATTTTATTTTCACAGGAAGAAACTATTCATAGAAAGCTTCTTTTACTTGATAACCTAAGACATGGTCCTAAATAGGCAAAAAATGCTTTGTCATATTATTTCATATATCATGCTTCAAAATCTTAATAAGCTTATGTGAGTGTGAATTACAAACACTCTTTATAAATATTCATGACATAGATTTAAGCATTTATGCATTTATATCATATTTATTATTTCATAGTTTTAATTCATTGTTACTGTCATGATTAGGCGCTTAAGAAAACATTAAAGTATCTTATTTAGTAATGGAATTTTGTTTCTTATGAAAATATTTAGAAGGTGGCACAAACAATTTAAGGAAAATAGAAAGTTGTAAGCCAAGAAATAGTAGGAAAGATAGAAACTCAGACTACACTTTATATCTCATGAAACTAATTGTGGTCAGTTTAGGTAATGTTACATAAACAAGGCTTGATTAAAAATGGATAAGGTTAATCTACCATTTAGAAAGAAAATATCTAGCATGTTGAACATATTAAAAGACATTCCTCGGATAATGACTAATCCAAAAAGGTTAGCATGAAGATACTTCAAAAGCCAACAAAAACCAAGCAATTCTTTTTGAATTCCAATTGCTGATAATAAATAAAATCCGCCACAAACATATTGATCATGACTTTAATAAGTAATTGGTCATTGACCTATGGTTTATTTTCCATTCATTAAAACACAAGGAAGCTTCAAATAATTATTACTCTGCTTTTGGCTATATGATTAAGTTCCAGTCATTATCAAACCATTACTATGAGCTATATGCTAATAGAGCATGATCAAATACATGAACAAAATGAAATCATGGTAGCATACAACTAAGATAACACTTTTCACACAAAAAAAAAAAAAAAAAGTAAAGAAAAAATGTAATAAATAGAAGTTTAGATTCATACCATGTCTTTTGCCGACTCTTCTCAACGGAGCCACATATTCTAATATTTTCTTAATGGTATCCACCTACAGAGAAGTCAACCCAAGATCAAAACAATAAGAAATTATCTGTTGTTATTGTACATATCGGTGAACAAACAAATTTCTAGTAGTATAGACACCAAAATTGTATTTTACCTACTCTGCTAAGAATTTACCTTCAATGAAATATATCAACTGCCCCTCATGGTTTCGCTCAGCCACTTGTTTGCCAAATCCTTGACCATTAGTTCAAAGATGCTTGCTACCATCTTAGAAACTTCCGTAACGTAAAATAACATGGTTGTTAAACATGGTTCTATCCAATGATTTCATAAACCTAATCAATAAGAGAATAGACCTTCGACCTTATTAACACATTAAAAATCAATAGTCAAAAGTGCAAATAGAAGAACAATATAACAAGAAGAGAGAATGAGGAAAGTCTTACCATGTGCAAGTTAAGAGCTTTTCATTTATTAGTTTCTTCAGCGACAAGGATTCTGTTGCAGCTCGTGAAAAGAGGTTGGTCATATAGGGGAGGGCACAACTTGCGCAAGGTGCAACTGCCAGTATGGGTAGGGGGCACTGTTAAACGGTTTGGAGAAAAAGGGTCGAAGGAGCCGTTAGATTGTTTAGGGAGAGGGGCTGAGAATGGGAAAGAAATAAAAAATGAGAAATTAGGTAAAAACTTAAGGTTTTATTCTTTTAGTAATTTACCAACGGAATTTTAATTCAGTCGGAAATTTCATTGATAATACTTGATAGCTATTGCAAATGTATGGATTGTAATAAGTATTAAAGTAAAGAGTAAAGTTTCATTCCCATAAATATTCTAAATAAAATTATTATTAAATACCGAAATTTTAGACAAAATGTAACTAATATGCATTTAACTATTCTACTATGCAAACCAAAAATTAAATAACTAAGCCAAATTAATCAAATGCAATAACCAAATTAATCTAAACATGCAAACTAATTAAAGCAGCAACTACATAAAATTAACTGAAACCAAAAGCTAGAAAGTAATAATCAAAATAGTAAATGAATTAATATGTAAAACAGAAAAATTAAACTATGCAGAATTGTAGAAATAGAGTTTAAATCTGATGCAATAAATTAAAACCTAATGCGGTAGCTAAACAATATATGCATAGGTGAATTAAACAACTAATGCAGTAACTAAACGCAAAACAGAATTTAAAACTTTGTATGCTAAAACAGAAGATAAACTAGTGCAGAAACATAAAGCTGCAAATTAAACAATAATAAAATGCGGTAAACTTTTGAAAACTAAAAACTGAAAATTAAATTCTAATCTAATGCAGTGAAAATGAAATTAAAACATGCATCAATTAAAATCCTAAACTAAAAACTAGAAACTGGAATTTTTAATGAAGAACATAATAATGTAAATGTCTGTATTGTTAAATTGTTCAATTTAAGTGTGGGGGGGGGTGGGAAGAATGATTTGAGTACTTAAATGATTTTTGAAATTGTGATCCCATTTTTGCTTTCAAACCAAATTGACATACTAGATCTCATTATTATGCATACTTAGTTGAATTTGCATATATTTTCCAAGATTGACTAAAGTATGACATCAAGTTGATTATGAATATGGGGGAACTTGAAAGGAAGTCTTAAGCATGTTTCCCTTTGGATATGATTTTTGTTCATATGCTTCTATTATCTTTTAATAAAATGCTATGATTTTTGTGGAAGTCTGTGGATATGGTTTGCATGAGATTTGAGGATATGAATAAGTACTCTAGAATTCACCTACTTAATCCTTAAGGTGAAATCCTAAATTGTATTTGACTCAAGAAACGATCTAGGCAGTTTTTTAAACCGTTTTAGTCTTTTTCAAACCCATCCTGTTATGATGCATCCTTAGTATCTTAGCTCTCTCAAATGAATGCGAATTCTTGGAAAGATTAATTGTTGACTTGTCTTCAATCTTGCTGACTTAGCACTTGGGTAGTTATGTAACTCTTTTTGGAAGAAGGCATGATCAAACTTGACCCAAATTCACTCTATTTGGGAGACAACCCAAATTTTACTTTCATGTTTTATGGTTTCTATATTTATTATGACATGTATATTTTGATATTTTGATATTTTTGTTTGAGTTTGTTTTTGTAAAAATGAATTGAAATAAGAAGACGATCTCAAACAAGTGAAGATTCAACTTTAAGTAAATTTGGGGAGTATTTTTTTCCTTTCCTTTTTTGTTTATTTAGTCACATAATAAGCCCTTTGAGCATTTTCTTTGATTATTATCCTTTTTTTTTGTTATACCTAACCCAATTGTGCTTACTTATGTATTATGGACACGATTATGATTTTGAAAGGAAGGGAGGCGTAAGGAATGAAAGAAAAGAAAATGGCCAAAGCAAAGGCAAAGCCTAATAAAAGCAAAAAAAAAAAAAAAATTGCTATGATAAATAAAAAAAGATGACTTAAAAGTCAAAAGTCTTAAAAAGCTCTCAATTGTTCCAAGAAATTTCAAGAAAGTAAGATAAAGGTTTTAAGCCTAAAAATTTCTTTTTTTCTTACCTTAACCCAAGCCTTACATTACAAGCCTAAAAAACCTTTTCATTTTAAGTCAAATATGTAAGTCTAATATTAATTGAAAGGGAAGCGGAAAGTAAACATATGAAGTCTATTCTATCTTTGAGTTGAAATGTGACGAAGTGTTTTACATTCTTTTTACTTGAGTTATATTAATGAATTAAAGAATGAGTAAATGCATATGTGTAAAGAGCATAAGATATTGGAAGCTTGTTTTTTAAGGAATTTTTTGTAACTCTGTGTTTATATTTAGCTTTGCACTATGCAATAATGCATGAAAGGAATTTTATGTAATTTTTGACTTGTGAATATGTATAATGATTTATAGTTTTGTTGATTTGAGGATTTTGCTTGAAGACTAGCAAAGATTTAAATGTGGGGGTATATGATAGCACTTAAAAATATAGTATTTTTACATGTAAAAATGGGTACAAAAATTTAAATTTTGGTTGATTTTTGGTGCTTAATGTCTATTTTGTGATTTTTAGGATTTCAAGCTTGTGGACTTCATTTTCATGCATGCAAACATGCAAAAAACACATTTAGCCCTATCTTGGAAGCCTATAACTGAATTACATTAGCCCAATTCCATCCATTTATGCGGCCAAGAAAGAGTTTTACAGGCATAAAGACACATCCACCTCTCCTATGGTATTCAATTAAAGCAAAAATGCAAAGAGATAAACTTATTTGGAAAATATGGCATGCACTAAGACTCTCTCATGATTCATCACATTTGGCCACCCCTATTCCAAAAAAGATTCTAAGTATTTTCAAGCTCACATGGACTATATCTATTCAGCCAATGAAGATTTTATCTACGAATGACTCTTTTGCTTAGCCATAAAGGAATTTAATTGCATAAAGACTTCTATCTATTATTTCCCATTCGGCTAAGAGACAATCAAAAAGGATTTCATGGAACTTCAACTCAACAAAGAAACTAGATGTATTTGGCTAAAGATGTTTGTGATGGACAAGGACTCTTTTGCTTGCTTTTTAAAGAATCACGATAAAAGGACTCTTGCCATTTGAATTGAAAATGTTTAGATGAAATTCAAATCCCTTGTCTTATAATCCAAGAGTTAGCCAAACCTACCTATAAGAATGGATTAAGATGGAAACTACAAAGATCAAATGGCCAAGATTAAATCTTAAAAGACCATTTAACCAAGACCCTTTCAGCATGAAGAGTCTCATTAGGCCATGATGCTTTGGAGATCAAGATTATGCTTTATTATGTAGTATTTGAATTTTTTAAAAAAAATTCTTGTAATCCTATCCCCCTATGGCTGAATCTTTCACTATAAATAAGGAGACCATTCATCTCATTTCATCATCCCATTTTTCACTTCTTTTCTCTTATTTTAGCTTTTTAGTTCTTTCTTAAGTTTAGTTATTGGCTTAGGTAACAGGTTTACCAATAACAAAAGCTTTGTTCTTTAAATTATTTTCTTTCAATTAAAGAATTATTTTTTCAAGATCTCTTTTTCATTACTTTTAATTTCAAATCTTGCTTTTATTTTCTTATTTTTGGCAAAGCATTCTTTTACAAGTTTGGTTCAAGTATTCTTACTTTAGTTCTTTACAAGTTTTGACCACTACTTTTTTGGATGATCTAAAAGTTTAGTTTTATGCAATCATTGATTCAAGTATACTCTTTTTAAGCATTCGACAATCACTATATTTTTTTGTTTTTAAAGATTTCCATTCTTGTTCTTTTAGATCTAATTTTTAGCTACTTTCTTTTACTTCCCAAGTGACAATTGGTGAAGTTAAGATCTAAGGCTACACTACTTTTCAATCTTCTATTTTCTTAGTTTTGCAATCAACTCTAAATTTTGATTTGTTTAGGTATAAGATTTTAGGATTTCATCCTTATTTCTTGTAAACAACACAACATTACAATCTATAATCCCTTAAGAGACAATATTGGAACACTTACATTTTATTACTTGATCTATGCACTTGTAAGCTATACAAAAAGCAACAATCAAGATCATGAAAAGAGGGTTTGAAAGAAAGAGGAGCTAAAAGAGCTAAATAAGCAAGCAAAGGAATGAAGGAATGGAGAAAAAAGGATTTAGAAAATTAGCAATTACTTAAGTATATTTACTAAAATTTTAGGGGCTAAAGCACCTCCTATTTGTCTATAAATAGAGGGGAAGGGCTAACTAAAAAGGAGCTTTTAGATAGATTTTTACATTTTTAGTTTTAAGTTTCTACACTTTTTTTTACTCTGTAATTTTATTTTCTTACTTTCCAAACAGGGTAGTTTGGCACTTTTTTTGCTTTACTTTCTATGTAAATTTAACTTTCCTGC